AAAAATGAAGAATTACGCTTATTTAAACCCCTCTGTTTAGCGTAAATTATTTAAGGGAAATTACCCTAAATGAGACAAAAAAACGTTTGTCAATTCCGAAATAGAATTATCATGTTTGTATTCCCAAAATAGGACTAACTACTTATATGTTTCGGCAATACATACTTTAAACATGACACTATTTTCCAAACTTGACAACAATTACTCATATTTTGGGAATAAAAACAATGTAGTCCTATTTTGAAATTTTTAAATTTTTTAAAAATTTAAAAATTTAGTACCCGAGCGTTGCCCCGGGTGCAACTGCCATATGAAATAGGAGTATTTAGTTTATAATTTTGTGCATATGTGAAATATATATTTCGTATGAATTTTTTAAATCACATTGATAAAAGCATTGAAATACGTATTAATTCAAAATAATAATATATAATATATAAGAATAAAGATGTTGGGATCCGTAAGACATTAAAAATTTGAAAGGCTATGCTTCTAAATTCTGGATAACCTTTATATAGATAATATTTATGACATTAGAGGAAAATCCTAGATCTTTAGATCGAATCCAAATCTTCAATCCTTCTTTGCTCTTGACTGTTGATATGGCAGCATATAATTGACCGAGTGTGAACACATTTTTTCCCGAGATATAGTCTGACATGCATATTTACTGAGATTGGCTCTTGTTGATGCTCATTGCAAAGCATACCATAACCGAGAATTGCTTCATCTGAAAATTAAAAGGCAATGTTACATCAGATGGAGATAACGACGTACAATCTGGGAATGTGAACAGTACGTGGCCCTCATATTTCTTCCAGTGATGATCTTTGCCTCTAGCACATTTTTTCTGAGCTTGGTGAGAATGATCAACCTGGTTCCATTACAAAATCCTGCTGGCTGGTCTATATTTCTCAAGAGCATAATGGGAGCACCAATCTTTAGGTGCAATTCGTGATCAGACAACCTCGAGATTGAGATACTATCAAGAAATTCTAGTGTATACACGTCACTCTCACGACACAAACCGATATGTGAACTAATGATGCTATCTGAGATGAGTTACATGATTTGATCATCGGGGATCAAAGATAGCATGTAGTCATTTATTTGGAGAACCACGTAAAAAAGTTCAAGTATCGCTCTTTCCATCAAGTAAGTTGGATTGCTGGGGCGTTCTCGCTGGTTACAATAAATGCTATTAACGATAGCTGATAGGTAGTTATCTTCCGGCTTGATTAGAAACTCATTCAGGATTTACACCTCTGTTTACCGTTATGCAGTGTTCCTTCTGTAATACTCTGGATACTTATCTTCATCAGTGGAGGTTGTGGGCCTGAAACACCTTGGGTAATGTTTAGAACACACCATATATCATCCAAGGTGATCTTTGTTGAAATCTCTGCAAGGACCGTGTGTCATTGAACTTTTTATTGCGTCATGCAACTCTGCATCTTGGAGAGGATCAGGAGTTCAGCTGAGATGACCTTATGAATGTCATCAACGCCTCTCAACATGTATGCAGAGCGTATAAAAAGGATGATGTGGGCACATAGTGTAAATAACTGCATAACCAATGAAGTAAATTTATATGTAATTATATTTACATTTATTTAAAACCAAGACGTTTGAGCTTGATCTTAATCATTGGAGAGAACTTAAGCGCTTGAGGTTCTCCAAATAGTTTTCTATATTTGAGTTCTTCTATGAGACGTTTGAACTTGATGTTAATGATTCTCGCAATGATATCGAGATTGTCTTTAGATTTATAGTTTCCATCCTGAAGACACTTCTCTATTTGTGGCCAGTTTGGGTTAGACGTGAAAGTTATAAAAATGTTTGGGTTACCACACTTGCGAACAATGACTACCACGTGCATCCTGATGCATGGTTTTGAATCATGTACCTTGCTTCACCGGTAAACGAAGATGGTAGTATTATTCTTTTGACTTGGGCATGTGGGTTTGTTTCTCCACTTACAACTACATCTACCGAATCTTTGTATATATCATATCTCAGTTTCACCTGATTGTTTCTTAGAAATGAGAGTCTTTCCGATTCAATCATTGTATAAGCATCAACAATGAACTACTAAAGAAGTATCCTTGATTTAAATATTGTATTGTACTCACAGTCTCGCAGTCCCTTGATTGAAGCTTATATGCAAAGAACTCATGCATGCTTAATTGTTCCAATTAGATATAAAATAGTTTTTTTTTCTACAATTTTACATCATTTAAAAAATACAGTTTTATTAGTCCGCTTATATAGTATACTGAAAAACACTACGTATGACAGAGAAAATTATCCCGCCGCTCAATTATTATTCCATTTATCTTCTTTTATCTCATCTTATCTTATACCTATATAAAAACACTCTGTATGAGAGAGAAAATTCTCCCGCACATTTATTAGTTCACATATCTTACACGGAGTACCAAACAACGCTACATATGAGAAAGAAAAGTCTCCCGCTCAATTATTTGTTGTTACTAACCACATTGAAGTTGAAATCTACCTTTTTGATTTATATTATACTAATAATTATATAATAAAGAAATATAATGTTGTAAAGATAGAGTTGCTTCATGGTCCCATTATCAATTGAAATTTATGATGTACATGATGTGGATAACCAATTAAATATGTGTTTGGACATTGTATATATCGAAGTCTATAATTATGTGCTACATTCTTTAATAGTAGCAATTAATGGACTTACTAATTAGGAAAACCAATATGATTGTAAACCTACCATTTCTAGGAGCCTATAAATATGGCCCTAGAGAATGGATATGTAAGTTTTCCACTCACTCACATAGAATATTATAGTCGTAGGATTTATTGCTCTGGAGAGGTTTTACCTAAGTTCATCTTCTTCATCTTTATGTAAAAATCTTCTTCATCAATGGGAAACTCCAACCTTCATATTATATTTCAGTCTAGAAAAACAGGGACCAACAATAACAATTGTATTTTTGGTCTTGTAGCTTCAAAATTCGATCAATGTAGAATTTTCATACTCCAAATGTATTTGCGAGAATTTAAGATCAGAGTACGTGGTAACATGTTTTCTAGTCTTTTTTTATGACAATATTTCTTAAAATCTTTTCTCCAAATTAAACTTATGATCTTTGGATACTTATTTATAACTTACAGTGATATATCAAACGCTTATTTATGAGCTTAAAATTTATCATAATATCAAACACTTATACATAATTTATTCCTTACTATCAAAGGAGGATGGTTTGGGGTTTCTCAATATCATTTTTGGATGTCAAATTGTTACTCAAACATTACAGTATATATATTTAATGCGTTTATTAAATAATGTGAAAATTCTCGAAATAGGAGTAACAAAATTTAAAATTTTCAAAATAGGACTAACATGTTTTTATTCCCAAAATAAGAGTAATTGCTGTCAAGTTTGGAAAATAATATCATGTTTAAAGTAAGGTATTGCTGTAACATAGCCGTAATCAGTCCTATTTTGGGAATAAAAACATGATAGTCCTATTTTGGAATTGAAAAACGTTTTTTAATTTGTCTCAATTAGGGTAATTTCCCTTAAATAATTTACGCTAAACATTGGGTAGCAGAGGCTCAAGTAGGAATCATGATAAATTTGAGGGGTTTAAATCAGCGTAATTATTCATTTTTCTTTTCTAATACTTTTTATAATGAGAGGTAAACTATATACTACTTTGATTTTCCTTAGTTCTGTTACTAACAAATCTAACTTTTCCAATTAACTTTTATCAACTCTATCACTTAACATTATATTAGTGGTTATTTAGTTTATAATCCATATTTAATATAATTATCATTTTATTTTTTCATGAGAAACCTGAGGGCTTTAAATAAGACTAATTATTAATTTTCCTTTTCTAATATTTTATAAAAAGAAGTATACTATATAATCCTTTGATAATATTAAAATCTATGTAAAGATGGTGATAGAATATTAAAATACTATACACGACTGATTTCTCTAATAAAATATTAAAAAGGGAGGAAGAAGATGAACAATTAGTTCTGGCTTTAAATGAAGCAATATCTAAAATTCATACGGAGTAATATGGAGAAAAAGGTTACTGTAAAATTAAACCAAGCGGCTAATTTCTTTTTCTTTCGTGAGATAGACAAACGGTCAACGAAGCAAAAGATCAAATATTGTGATGGATTATATTAGAAATAGTACAAATATTGTGAAGTGGCAATTTATCGAACATTGATTGCTTAAAAATGGTAATATACCGAAACTCTAGGATGTTTTACTTGGACTGTAATTTGTTGGTCTAGTCTGGTCAGATCTGAAATGGTCTGGTCTGATTTCTCTGTATTCTTATAACTATTCAAGTTTGGTCTGATTTGATCTGGTATGGTCTGACCTGGTCTGGTCTTGTCTGGTCTGCGACAGATTACAATCCAAGTAAAAATCAAATTTAAAATCGAAAAGTTTATATAAATAATTAATACTAATAACTAAAACAAATAAATTCATTTAATTGATCAAATGTAAAAAAAATACTTAAATGACACTCAAAAGTTTGTATAAGCAGTACGTTTTTATATATATGCAACATTAATAATTTAACATGATAATTAAGTGTGTGTTCCATGTTTATCTCTTAAAAAATCAATAAAGGTATTTCTAATGTTTATCTCATAGGTAAACCGTTTATCTAAAAATCAGCTAAGCCATTTGTTAACAATATATTATTTGAATATGTCCCTCACCTCAATCTAAATCATAAACAATTATGGGCAAAATCTAAAAATTATCAATTCTAATGATTGTACTCAATTGCAATTTAAGTAGAAATCAATTTCAATTGAGATGACTCTACTTTATTAGTACTAAAGTAGATTTGTCAAATACCCTATTTTTTTACCCATTTGATATTTTGGGCCTTTTGGCCCCAAAGTACAGTGTGTCATTTTCATTTATTTTAGTCAGCCCCTCTCCTATAAGAAAGTACTTTTATGTGTTTTTACTTGAAAGAAGAAGATGATATACGATGGCTCATTGCCATACAAATCACCTAATTCTATCCGAAAGGCTCCACCAAGAATTCTCCAGGAACTTCATCAATATTAGAATTGGATCATCTCTAAATGGGATCAACAATGTGGAAATACCATCTAGCCCCTACTATACTGTCACTGCCAAAGCCTTTATTGGGTCTTCAAGAAAATCTGTGAAATCTTGGAGCTCCGCTAACCCTCAATCATCATCACAAAGTCCACAACTACACTTATCTTTAGCTGGGGGAGAAGAAGAAGTGAAATTGGAGCATGGGCATCAGCTGAAGGACAATAATGGAATTTCAAGGCAAGAAAGCTCTGGTTTTCTGGTCAGGGATCATGAGTATGGATGGGAAGTGAGGAAGATGGTCCAGAGTGAGGATGAGATTAGGGAAGTAGCTGAAGTTCAAGCTGATGCATTTTATGAACCAGCCTTCTTCTTCAATGCCCTCTTCTTTCATTTTTTCAAGGTTCCTAATTTTAACCCTTTTCCTCCTCTTTTATTTTAGTTCATCTGAATTCTAATCACTCATGGTAAGAGGGCTGCTCTGGTGTACACGTTTTCTATACAAGTTTTGCACATGCATACTTATCTACCTAAACATACAATTTCTGCATTTTTTAGATAAATTATCTGTATATATAGATAAAATAGGGGTGTACATAACAAGTGTACAAAAACCTGTACAAACATACTTTTCCTTTAATTAGCTGAATTTTCACGGAATAAGATTGATTGATTATTTGAGATGAATTATTTAATGATTATTATATAAGAAGCCACTTTCATTTTTCAGTTGCTGACATCAATGATAATGGTAGAGTACTCCCTATTTGTTTTCTTGCGCCAATGTTTTCTTTCTTTTACAAAGAAAATATACTTAAATTATCATGAAAATTTATGAGAACCTAAAAGATAGATAAATTATCAATTCAAGATCTCAAAGATGAATTTAACGATATAGGACCATAATGTTTAAAAACTACTCCCTTCGTCCCTAATAACTTTGTCAAGTTTGATCGACACGAGGATTAATAAAGTCAAAACTGTGTGGTTAAGTTGTGTTCACAGGAGAGAGAATTAATTGGAACCACAAATTATTTACTTAAAAGGGAAAGTGACAAAGTTAATCGGACATCCAAAAAAGAAAGTTGACAAAGTTATAAGGGACGGAGGGAGTATCAATTTAAGACCTAAATTGTTATGAATTTTATTATTTTAGAAATTAAGATATTATTTAGTTTTAGTAAACTAATAAACTTTCGTGAAGAAAAGTCAATAAAAAATTAGCAATGAAATGAATAAAAATTAAAATAAATCAAAATCTATGGAATTTCAGGTCCTAGTTTGATAGTTTTCAATCATTCGGGTTTTAAATCGACACATTTCATCTGTTAGGTCCCGATTTGATAATTTATCTATCTTTGAAGTTCTAATTTGATAAAATTCCTAAATCATCCAATTTTTTTGCAAGAAAATTATCCATTTTTGATAGTTTAGCTACTTCAATTATCTAATAAAATTTAGTCTTACTAAAAGGACTTCAAGATCCTTTTAAAATAAAAAAAGAGGACTTTTTTTTAAAGGAAACTGATTATATTATATTAATCAAACTTCCCCCCTTACAAGCAACCCAAATTTCCTCAATCAAGCATCCAAAATTACGACCCCGCGTAAAACGCCAAACCTCCTCGTGAGGCTCCGCAAAGCCCAAATGCTTCCCCACTCTCTGGCTAGACTTAGAATAGACCATCCCAGAAGGAGCGAGACTATTCGCGAACCATGTGAGAGTTTCGAAGCTTTTAACGGCCAAACAAGCCTTATCGCTTCCACCAAAAATAGCATCCCATGCCAAGCAAGAAAAAACAAAACTCAACCTACCGCTAAAGTTCCAAACAAAGAAAAAGGCAACGTGAACAAAGTAAAAGGAAAAACAGTAGAAATAAATAAAATCTTCATGGTTCTCAGCCTTATTCAAATCCCAAAGCTGCGGTCCAGTGACTCTCAATGCTGTGCCTGGCGAACTACAAAGTTGTAGCTCGCCTCCTCTCTGTTTCCCCCCAGTATGAGCAATCTCCATCTCCTCCCCGGTCTGGTGCTCTGTTGAGTCCTCCACACGCCTTCATTTATGCTCGATGTATTGTGGTGAAACCCCGCCTTACACCGTATCTGATCGCATGCCTTCCTCTCTAATTCCGCTGGTAGTCTTGCTATCAGAACTGATTCCAAAAAAAAGAGGACTTCTAGATAGATGATATTGTGCGTATGATTTATCCGCAGCCTCATATTCTCAGTAAAAAATATAAGTATTTTACGGTAGATTCCTAATAAAAATTTGGTACGTGACAGTAATTGGAAATCACAGCTTTGGGTGTCTTGTACCGCATAGATCAACTTAAGGGCACCCACTGTGGGAGGTCATTGGGGATTAAAAAAAGTGATCCAACTTGATCTCCACTATGCAAGGTCATTAATTGATCCATCAAATTGGTAGCTCAAGAATGAGTTTTGACAAAAAATTTGTAATCAATCAATTGAATGAAGCCATGCTTTTGCCCGTGTGAAAGGGGGTGTCGGCTAAGGAGAGGAGTTCTCCTCCCAATCAAGGTAACCACCAACCCCATCAATTACCCCCAACTCCCTAATTTAATTTTTTATGCATTAAATTTAATTTATTTTACACAAAAAATTATACCAAAAAATAAAAAAAAATCCTTCTATAAATAGACACCAATGAAGGATATGTTTAGTCACTTCGAAATTTAGCACTTCTTTCCCTCTTGCATCTTATTTCATCTGTTTTAGAATATTTTTTTCCCCTAAAAATGGATCTAAACCATCCCCCCTAGATACTATACCAACAACCCCCCATTCCAAAGAATTTCTCATTCTGCACAACAATCTTCCATAAAAAAATTTCAACTTGATCCCGCTCATCCAAATTTTGAAATGGCTATGCAGCTATTGCAAAATAAGTCTAATCATGACCAATATTCTCATGCTACTTGTCCATTAAATAATGAACCCATGTTTACTCCAAAAATAAACTATTTTTCGCAAGATCTGAATCCTTTTTCTACTCAGCAGAGTTTTTTCTCCCCCATTAGCACAAAACTTCAACAGTATGCCTCACATGAACTTCAACCATGATCCTTCAATGTTTGCTCATGAGGCAAGTCGTGAAAATGTGACTTCTGTTAATCTTGGAGATGAGGAGGACGAACTTGAGGCAAACACAGAGTTAGTGTCATCACCGAGCAAGAGTACAAAGAAAACAGATTGACGATTCAGTACGTCGGTTTCTTGGACCATCCCTGAAGATGTGGCCTTAATATGGGCATATATTCATGCTAGTGGAGACGTATCAAAAGGCATCGATCAAAAACACCTCACACATTGGTCAAACATCACAAAACTTTATATGGATGCACAACAGAAGCAACCACAAAAACTAAGGATGAGAACGTTAGAGTCATGTTGTGACTGGTTCAAACGTGCAAGCATGCTCATAAGCAAATTTACCAGAAATTATGATGAAGTCGTTCGACATAGTAAGAGGGAGGACTGAAGAAGATGTTATAACCAAGGCGAAACGCATCTTTGGTGCGGATCACAACAACAAAACTTTTCGATTTGAACACATGTGGAACATATTGAGAAATTATCCTAAATGGGGTGGTTGATCTAACATGCAAAGTTCTTCCCAATTTTGTGAAAGTGGAGGAAGTTCTAAAAGAACACGAACAGATACGAACGGAGATTTACCGAGTGAGGAAATGCCTAGACCAGAAGGAGTGAAAAAAGGCAAAAAAAGGTAAAATTCAATATTCGTTAGCCGAATCGTGTGAAAGTATTACAAATGCAGTGGCAAATTTGATCAAACAAAGAGAGTCGAAACAAGTTGTTGACATGGAACGCACTGAGTTACAAAAACAAATGATTGAGCTTCAAAGGCAACGATGGGAGGATAGACTCAAAGAGAAAGATGAGAAACGCATCCAGAATGAAAGAGATCAAAGATTCCACATGTTCACAACTCTCGTGGGAAAGTCCTCATTAAATCCACGAGAAATGGAGATTTATGATCGTTTGTATGAGGAGTTCAAGTCTAGTTTCTAAATTGCTTTTGTCGTACTTTATTTCTATTACGAATAAATGTTTGTTATGAATAAGATGTTTTCAAGTTTTCATTTGAACTTTGTTATATTTATTGTGTAATTTATGACATTTTATTTTGTTATATTTATTGTGTAATTTATTAATTTTTAAATTTACTCCACATCTAACATCTCCCACCAATTAAATACGTAACTAATAAATAAATACATACCTACCAAATAAATGCATACCTACCAACTAATTGCACCTACCAACTTCATACTTACCTAAAAAATAAATGCATAACAACTAATATAACTCATACCAACCACATCTACCAGCCTAAATCACAACTATTTAATGTGGACACTACGTTGTAGAAAACACACACCTCAATTGAACTCCCAGAATATGAATGTATCCTCTACCTGCTCCGACTCCTACGTCGATGAATTTCAAAGCGAGCTTGATGAGTTTGTCAAGTTCAATCAAGATGTTGACGCACGACGTGAAGAGAAAAGGGAGGTAGAGAATAGCATAATATCTACTTTACCTCAATTGCTAACACAAACAATTGAGCGTCCAATCCAAAGGCGACGCTACTTGCATAGGGACCATGACGATGCTCATAAACGTCTAATGTGTGATTACTTCATCGATACGCCAACATATGGATGCATCATTTGGCTGACACCCCCTTTCAAATGGACAAAAGCCATTTGGCTTTATTCAATTGATTGGTCACAATGTTTTTGTCAGCACCCATTCTTGAGCTACCAATTTTATGGATCGGTTCATGAACTTGCACTCAAAGCATTCATGATTCGCTCAAAGACACATTTACACATACAAAATCGACGACGAAACTCACATTGTCCATATGTTGGAGTATCCATGAAGTAATCACACATTAGACGATTATGAGCATCGTCATGGTCCCTATGCAAGTAATATCGCCTTTGGATTGGACGCTCAATTGTTTGTGTTACCAATTGAGGTAAAGTAGATATTATGCTATTCTCTACCTCCCTTCTCTCTTCATGTCGTGCATCAACATCTTGATTGAACTTGACGAACTCAACAAGTTGGCTTTGAAATTCATCGACGTAGGAGTCAAAGGAGATAGAGGATGCAAACATATTCAGGGAGTTCAAATAAGGTGTGTTTTTTCTAAAACGTAGTGTCCACATTAAATAGTTGTGATTTAGACTTATAGATGTGGTTGGTATGAGTTATGTTAGTTGGTATGCAATTATTTTTTAGGTAAGTATGAAGTTGGTAGGTGCATTTAGTTGGTAGGTATGCATTTATTATGGTAGGTATGTATTTATTTATTAGGTACGTATTTAATTGGTGGGAGATGTTAGGTGTGGAGTAAATTTCAAAATTAATAAATTACACAATAAATATAACAAGATAAAATGTCAACACATAATACCTTTTATTAAAATAAAGTTCAAATGAAAACTTGAAAACATCTTATTCATAACAAGCATTTATTCGTAATAGAAATAAAGTACGACAAAAGCAATTTAGAAACTAGACTTGAACTCCTCATACAAACGATCATAAATCTCCATTTCTCGTGGATTTATTGAGGACTTTCCCACGAGAGTTGTGAACATGTGGAATCTTTGATCTCTTTCTTTCTAGATGCATTCCTCCTCTTTCTCTTTGAGTCTATCCTCCCGTCGTTGTTTTTGAAGCTCAATCATTTGTTTTTGTAACTCAATGCGTTCCATGTCAACAACTTGTTTCGACTCTTTGTTTGTTCAAATTTGCCACTGCATTTGTAATACTTTCAAACGATTCGGCTGACAAATATTGAACTTTACCTTCTTTTTTTTCATTTTTTTCACTCCTTCTGGCCTAGGCATTTGGTCACTCGGTAAATCTTCATTCGTATCCGTTCGTGTGCTTTTAGAACTTCCTCCACTTTCACAAAATTGGGAAGAACTTTGCATGCTAGATCCACCACCCCATTAAGATAATTTCTCAATATGTTCCACATGTGTTCAAAACGAAAAGTTTCGTTGTTGTGATCCGCACCAAAGAGGCGTTTCGCCTCGGTTATAACATCTTCTTCAGTCCACTCACTCTTACGATGTCGAACGGCTTCATCATAATTTCCGGTAAATTTACTTATGAGCGTGCTTACACGTTCGAACCGGTTACAATATGACTCTAACGTTCTCATCCTTAGTTTTTGTGGTTGCTCATGTTGTGTATCCATATAAAGTTTTGTGATGCTTGACCAATGTGTGAGGTGTTTTTGATTGGTACCTTTTGAGACGTCTCCACCTACATGAATATATGCCCATGTCTCCATCAGGGATGGTCCAAGAAACCGACATAGTGGCTTGTCCATCTGTTTTCTTTGTACTTTTGCTCGGTGATGACATTAACTGTGTGTTTGCCTGAAGTTCATCCTCCTCATCTCCAAGATTAACAGAAGTCACATTTTCACGACTTGCCCCATGAGCAAACATTGAAGGATCATGGTTGAAGTTCATGTGAGGCATACTGTTGATGTTGTGTGCTAGTGGAGGAGAAAAAAACTTTGCTGAGTAGAAAAAGGATTCAGATCTTGTGGAAAATAGTTTATTTTTGGAGTAAACATGGGTCCATTATTTAATGGACGAGTAGCATGAGAATATTGCACATAATTAGAATTATTTTGCAATAGCTGCATAGTCATTTCAAAATTCGGATGAGCAGGATCAATTTGAAAATTTCTTATGGAAGATTGTTGTGCAGAATGAGGAATTCTTTGGAATGGGGGGCTGTTGGTGCAGTATCTAGCGGGAGAACAGGTTGGATCCATTTTCAGGGGATAATATATTCTAAAACAGATAAAATAAGATGCAAGAGAAAAAGAAGTGCCAAATTTCGAAGTGACTAAACATATCCTTCATTGGTATAAATTAAATTTAATGCATAAAATATTAAATTAAGGAGTTGAGGGTAGTTGATGGGGTTGGTGGATACCTTGATTGGGAGGAGAATTCCTTTCCTTGGCCGACACCCTCATTCAAACGGACAAAAGCCACTTAGCTCCATTCAATTTATTGGTCACAAATTTTTTGTGAGCACCATTCTTGAGCTACTAATTTGATGGATCAATTCATGACCTTACATATTGGGGATCAAGTGGGATCAATTTTTTTTTATCCCCAATGACCTCCCGTAGTGGGTGCCCTAAGTAGAAGATAAAATTAAATCCTGGGAAAGCCGTAGGAATCCAGCAGGAAAAATCTCAAAAGCCTTTCATACCGATGAACAAATACTAAGAATCGCACATTCACATGCGTAGAAAATGGTGAACTACAAATCCCACCAATACTAGGTACTCAGGTAGTCGGGAGAATCACTTCCACCGCCATCCACTGATTCCTCTATTTCCGGCACAGGCGTGAGACTTTTATATTCCTGTGTAATTTCTTGCGGAGAAATGGATGCAGTTCTTACGCCGGTCTATCTTGAGTTTTCTGCGGAGGCCTTACTCGCCATCACCAGTACTGCTAGTACTAATTAAGAACAAAGCCAAAACATTTATCATCTTTTAGTGGGTGATGTTCTTCTTTATCGCGGTATAATTTCAATTTGGGAAAACTGTGGTTCTAAAGGAGACTTTGTTCGGTCTGGGTGGTTCCCGATGGAATTTTTTGATGAAATTTTTGGAGTTTCTTATTCATCAAGTCTAGTTTACTCATACCAAATTTGAGTTAAAAATTTAATCGGGAACGCATTCAAATTAATTCGAGAACGCAAAAATACGCAGTTATCTTCAAAAATTAATTTGAATGTGTTCCCGATTGAATTTTTAACTGAAATTTGGTATGAGTAAACTAGACTTGGTGAATAAGATGCTCAAAAAATTTCATCAAAAAATTCCACCGGGAACTGCCCCAAATCGCGACGGCCAGATAGAACCTCCTATAGAAGGACTTAATTGACCTTTTTATGAAAGTTCGAGGACCTATTTGACAGTTTTCCCTTTCAATTTGGAGCAGTGAATAAATCAAATACAGAGCAATTCTTTAATTGGCGATGAGGTTGAGGAAGCACTACGATATTTGTTGATGTTCTTACGGTCAGGTTGCAGGGGATAACTTGGACATTTGATTTATTTTTAATTATCAATTTTTAATTATTACTCCCTCCGTCCCATTTATATTGTCTTGTTTTACCTTTTCGGGAAGTCCCACTTAAATTGTCTCATACCATATTTGGCAAAGTTTGTGTGCCTCTAAATCATTCTTACTTTATTCTTACTTTATCAATTAATATCAACCACACAAACCCACTTTTTTAATTATGTGGCTGTAAATAGTAATTTAGACGCAGAATTGCTCTTTTTGAATATAGATGAAATAAATTGAATGTGACAAGTAACAAACCGACAAGTCCTAATAATAATGCAGGCCGAAGTGCTTTCTGGGCTTCTTTACAGATTGAAGAACTCTCCACCTCAAAGGTACAATCTCGTTAAAGAGCATTTTGAAAATACACGAGAATTATGTTGTATGGACAAGGGAATCAAGTAGGGGTAGGCATGACTCGGTGCACTTTGGGTTTTGGTTTGCCCCCCTCCTTTTGTTCTACCTTTATATTTTAATAAAATTCTGATAAATGTTCCCCGACATTTGCCCAATTGATTTTGGTGATTTGCCTTCCGGGTTAAAAAAACACTTTGGGATTACGGTTATGCCGATCTCATGACTCATTACACTTTGGGATTAGGGTTATTTATGCCAATCTCAACTCACTTAGACCATTCAGGATGGTAGGGAACAAAACGTTGTGCCATTCTTGTCTCATTTAAATCAGGACGGTTAGAGATGTCTCAAACTTACAATTTTTTTTGAAAGCTAACAAAAAGGTACTCCCTCCGTCTCATTGGACTTTGTCAACTTTCCTTTTTTTGTCCCTAAAAACTTTGTCATTTTCTTATTAAAGCAACTAATTTGTGGTTCTGCACATTTCTCTCTCCTCTGCACAAATCTCAAACACACAGTTTTTACTATTCTTATTTCTCACCTACTTTGCATTTGGCAAAGTCCACCGGGACGGAGGTAGTATTATTTCTTAAAAAGAATTTGACTTTTCACCCACTTTTACTGATATTTGACTTTGCACCTCATTTTTAAAAAACTTTGACTTTACACTCTATTTCACATAAAAATATTTTGATTATGCACCCCATTCAGAAATGTTTCTTCACAAAATGTTGCATGATGAGGTACAAAATCAAAATTTTATTGAAAATGAGGTGTAAAGTTCAATATCACTCAAAAAATGAGCTGCAAAGTCAAATTTCCCCTAATTCCTAACTAAAATATATTTGCATTTCTATCGTATATATTGAATTTTTTTAACCCCAACCACCCCCCAACAGCTATTAGAGTCTTTTATAGCCGTTTGAACGAATATTTTGGCCCACAAGTTTGAAACCCAAAAAAAGAAAGAAAAAATTTATTGCCGTTGGGGCCGAAACCGGGATCGGGGCAAAAAATGGGTATCTGGGACAGGCCACTAGGTACCTAAAAATCCGGACACGGCCGGTCTTTTGCTCAGAACCTAACCACGGACGTGGTCCAGTACATGCAACACAATATCAGGCCCAATTCCGAAGTGGTAGGGACAGACGAACCGAGTCCATGTCTTGGTTACTGTAATTCTAAGAGCATCTTCAATGGTACAATGTGCACGGTGCACACGTGGCATGAGAGATGGCCACATAAATATTAGTAAATAAATTATTTCTCTCCTTATTTGAATGATTTTATACAGTTTTAGTAAGTTTTTCTTCACAATGTCAAGGAGACCGTCTAATGTTGACATTGTTGTTGACATTGCAGGGAAAAACTTACCAAAATTGTATAAAATCATTCAAATAAGGAGAGAAATAATTTATTTGCTAATAATTTTGTGGCTATCACTCATGCCACATGTGCACCGTGGACATTATAGCATTGGAGATGCTCTAAAGTTCTACTGTTTTTTCTTTAAAAGGTAATTCACTGTTATTATGAAATTTCATAGCCTAATTTGATATTAATAGTGCTCCTATTTTGAAATTTCACATTGCTAGTGTTTAAGGCATTTTTTATTTTTATAATTTATGAACTTCGGTGTATGAGTGTGGTTTTATGGGACGATCTCTCACCAAAACAGGTATGCATGTTTGGTGGCCCAACGTTGGAAGGATATGGGAGAGATTAAAGCAGTGGTTGGGGTGGTCGATGTAACTGTGTTTAGAGACCATAATGTTCTTCGACATCTTGAAGGAGCACATGATTATCTATACATTTCTGGGATTGCTGTCTTACGCAAATTCAGGTTCTAAACTTCTAATCCCTTTCTTGCATCTCAGTTTTTTTTAATGCTGAGAGTGAGCTAACTCTGAGAGTCCTTCTGGTCTAATACTAGGTTTACATTGGGACGTGAAATTGTTTTTTTAGAGTTCTTAGCCTCCGTTTGGATAGCAACGGTTTACAAAAAACGCTATTTTTTTTTGTGTAACTACCCGCGATTTCCGTACCGGATCGCGGTACAATCGCGCGCTGATCGCCTCTGATTCGCGTTTCGGGTACGACAGCTCCTGGAAGCAATTCGCGTCTTTCGCCCAGCGGGTACGCCGATTCCAGGTTGAGGTTCGCTCGTTCCCTCCAGCGTCCAACGAACCGGCAGTCCAACAGTCTTGATTTTTGATTTTTTTTGAACTCCAAGCCATGGTCGGCAACTGACGAGCTTCACAGTTCGGTAATTGTAATACAAATTTCATTCCTTAAAAAACTAAACGACTCGACCCCTCAGGCTCTCATAGTGTGAAACGACTTTTCATTCATATTTCACACTTCATAGTTTACGCAATCACACCTATTTAAAGGCCTAACATCAGTACTCAGCATATCAGACTCTCTGCACCTCTCTACTCTTCTCTACTTAGTGTACTCTGTGTATACTGTTTGCCTCAGTATTCTTTTGATCTTTTCTTCGAAATGGTATTTGGCAAGCGTAAATTGCTAGAAACACAGTCAGATGATATCACAGATATGACCCTGAGTGATGAAGAAATAATAGAAACTGCTCCTACTCCAGTTGCTACAGAAGAGGTCTGCACAGGAAGTCAAAGTTCAAAACAGGACATCAAAGATGACAGACCTTTATTGGAAGAAGTAACCTTTGTTGGAGCTCCACCCTCTAAAAATGCAGGCGGTGCCAAAGTTTGGATATGTAAGCATTGTAATCAAAGATTTACACTCTTACAGTACTAGAATACATGTCCATTTCTTTGGTTCTCAACCGGGGAAGAAGGTTGAAATTAAACGATGCCCTGCTTTGCTCAACAATCGGGAGAAGTATGAACAATTGTTGAAGAAAGTCAAGGCGGCTGAAAAGGCGGGAGTCTCTCGATCCTTGAAAAATTCTGTGCTCAATAAACCACAAAGTATCCCTTCAAAAAAACCAATTCAAGACTTCTTTGGAATAATGGAGAGAAGTATGGTTGATTTGAAAATTAGAGGATTGTGTGCAAATGGTATTCCATTCAATGTACTACGCAATCCTCAATTCATAGAAATGGTAACTGCCATCAACAAAGCACCCGCGGGTTACAAGCCTCCATCCAATGAAAAAGAAAGGACGGTTTTGCTTGATGAATGCGTCCGAGATGTAGAAAAAGACCTCACACCGGTTAAAGATACTTGGTATACACAAGGTGTTTCCATCGTATCCGATGGATGGTCTAATATCAAGCACAAGCCCTTGATCAATGTCATCTCTGTTAATAGTCGTGGTGCAATGTTTATGTACGCGGAGGACTTCTCTGGATGGGAAAAAACCGGTGTGGCAATTGCGAATTTCCTGCTTGGAGCAATTGAAACTGTAGGACCGAGCAATGTTCTTCAAGTTGTGACCGACAACGCATCGAATTGCAAAGCTGCGGGTAGGGAAATTGAGAAGGTACACAAACACATCTTCTGGTCTCCTTGTTGTGTTCATACTTTGAATTTGATTTTCAAAAATCTTGCCAAGGAACTTGATTGGTTGATGAATACATACACGAGAGAGAAAGTTATTGTGAAATATTTTCTTAATCACACCCAAGCTTTGGCAATTTTTAGAGATAATTCAAAGTTGGAGTTGTTGAAAGTTGCAAAGACTAGGTTTGCTTCACATTATATTTTGTTGAAAAGGTTGAGGGATTGTAGAGAGGCTCTTGCAACAACTATAGCCCTTAATTCTTGGAGGGATTGGGTAAAACAAGGGGAAGAAAATGCAAGGGTCACTGGACTGTTAGTCGCCGATACTATTAGGAGCGAGGAATTTTGGGATGATGTGGATAACATTCTTGCAATAACAAAACCAATTTTCTTGCTAATTAAGTTTTGTGATGGCGAAGGATCCAAAATGGGGGAAATCTATGAAAAAATGGATAACATGTTAGGAGAAATAAAAGATATAATGGCTACAAATCAATACGCTTCGGACTTTCCAAAAGTAGAAGCTATTGTGTTAGCTACGTGGGAGAAGATGACTATTCCTTTGCACTATTTGGGTTTTGCTTTATCCCCGCGATTTTATGATGTTCGCTATCTCGAGAAACTAGCACCGGGTGGAGTTGCTAGAAAAGCTCCAAACTTGGACAAAGAAGTTGTGTTAGGTGTCATGGAGGCTTTTAAAAAAATTGGTGAAAACCAAGAAGAACAAAAGCTCTTAAGAGAACAATTTGCAAGCTAGGTTTCACATGAAGAAGGGATTATTTTCTATGGCGGCAGCTCAAATGGATGCGGTAACTATGGAGGCCATTGATTGGTGGTCAACATACGGTTCAGAGACTCCTGAGTTAGCGGAGGTTGCAAAAAAAGTTCTGTCACTTCTGTCACAACCTTTAAGTAGTTCCTCGGCTGAGAGGAATTGGAGCACTTACTCTTACATTCATAGTGTGAAGAGGAACCGTTTGAATTGTAAAAGGGCTGACAAGTTGGTGTTCATTCATTCAAACATTCGTCTTCAATCAAGATTTTCCGAAAGTTACAAAGTTGGCCCGAACAAGAAGTGGGATATTAATCCCGAAAGTGCGTATGTTGAAGGGTCAAGTTCAAGACTCGATGAGCTACAATGGGAAGATTTAGAAGAAGAAGATGCTGCTCTAAATGATAAAGGAAAGAGGCCAAGGATTGACTAGTTTGCTGCACACTTATGTTTAATGTTTTGTTGAAGTTTGTTTAATGTTTATTTCTTGTTTTGTTGATTGTTGAAGTTGTTGCTGCTCTGAAACTTTATTTACTGTTTTATATCTTTTATTGTTGTTGCAAACATTGCTAAGTTTATTTAATGTTATTGAAGTTATAGAAGTTAATTGTTTAATATATATTAATTATATTAATTATATTTATAGTTTACTTGGTAAATTCTACGGAGTATATGTTTATGGTTCACCGTACCATAAACAAAGGGTACAGCATACCGCGTACCGAAATCGCGTAACGAAGAAGCCTACCCCCGCGTATCGGATTTCTAATTTTGGCGATCCGCGTTCCCGTTTCCGTACCGCGCACCGAAACGTACCGCGATCCATGTGACTATGGTCCTTCTGGTCTAATACTAGGTTTACATTGGGACGTGAAATTGTTTTTTAGAGTTCTTAGCCTCCGTTTGGATAGCAACGGTTTACACAAAACGCTATTTTTTTATTACTAGAAACGCTGCATTTTTGCAGTGGGTGGGTGTCAATCCGCCAAAAAATAAACGAGGCCTTAAAGTTTGGCATTGTTTTGAAAATGTATGGAGTAAGTTTTTTTAAAGGAAAAAAAGATCATATATATTAATCAACAATATCACTCTTGAATGCTCACAATAAAACTTAGGTATCAACTAAGCCTAACTCGCACTCCGTGTGACAAACTGTTGCCCTAGCAATTGAGTCAGTTGCACGATTACAATGAACAATAACAAAATTCGCTTTTGTATATATTAATAGTCGTCGAATGCCATCTAAAACCAAATCGAAATAAGTTTATCCGAATTGTCCATCAATATTCAGTAACCTGAAGAGCATCCTTTTTTACTATATCACTTGATCCTAACCTTTGTCTAAAGCCCTGATGGGTTAGGTAACCTGGGGTAGTAGAGAGTTGGAGAAATGTTAAAGCAATTCTAGAGGGAAAAAGTTGTGTATTAAATTTTACATAATAATAGTACAAGCTATAATTGGGATTCCTTCCTCTTTGGAATGGTTGCAATTTATAGGCAAAGTATAATGCTTGGGTCTAAGCCCAAAATATGCTAGCTAATGATGGAATGACAAGTGTCTCTAGCCTTGGGAACACGCCTAGTGATGTTAGGCATTGCGTCATGCTGATGTAGGGCGACATCAACAATGATTTCAGCCCTAAAAATCGGGTTGTGATGGCAACCTTAAGAAATTGGGCCATGATGTCTGCAATAGTGGCTGTGACGTAAGCCCGAGTGGAACGTCCAGAAAATGACTAAGTGTAAAATTGTAACCAAGCCAAGACGGATCACGTTAGTTCGACCTCGCTGCCACAGCTTAATCCGTCGTAGAGGAAGCTAAATGATGGGGTTTGTCCGCTCAAGACTACAATGCTAGCGGTGACACTGGGCCTCAACTCACCAGATAAGTGACACGGTCCCTGCATCGTGTATTTCTGGACCCTTGGTGGTGTATGCGACAATATACTTCATCAAGCTCATTTCACCTGCCACCCATACCCAAGGATCCTCAGTATACTTCACTTTCCATAACTAAGGTCTTACATAACATAAAGAACTATCCAAATTCAAACTAAGGTCTCGATTAAGTAATCAAATTACAAATGAACTCAATTCTCACACTATATTAAGACTTGAGGACTTATGAGGAAAAGTAACCAAGATATTGTTCCATATTGTCAAAGTAAAAAGACGCCACAAGAAAAAAATCTAAACATCTTAGAATCTCCACTCTTACCAATCAAAACTCATAACTACCAAGGCTCCGCAAGATCAAAGGGTAACCGAAAATAAATGCAGAATGGAAATGCAGAACAATTTCTGATGCGCAAGGTCGGAGGAAGCTGCAAGTGTAGAGCATACTTAATATGAAAAACGAGGTCGGAGGTATTTGCAAGTGTAGAGCATACTTAATATGAAAAATGAATTAATGTATGAATAAAACATCATACTTAGATAAATGATATAATAATTAAAACTACACAAGCGAAAAGTACGTAAAAACTAATACATGAAGGAAAACACTTACAAAATTGAACCAGAAAAATTACAAGCTTAGAAATATAAGAGGAGATCACTCAAACTTCTAATCTACAAGAGATTAATGTGTATTCTCCGTCTCTAAGTGCTAATTTTGTGATAGAAGAGTCCTCCTTTTATAGGGGTGTGGAACTCTTTGTGTAATAATGGAGTGGATGGGGTAATTGAGTAGTAGGGATCTCTTTCCAACCACTTGATAATCTTCTTGAAGTTGTGTCAGACAAGTGTTCGTATAAGACCAAACACATTTTTCTCCTATCCTTTTCCTTTTCACTTTTTTTTACAATCCAATAACATGTCAGGCTAGAAGCATTACAATATGGATAAAAATTAAAAATAAGTTTGAGGTTGGGCCATTTTACATGGGACAACATTTTATTTTCATTTGATATGGGAGAGGATGTCGAAACAGTCATCTTCATTATCATCTTCCGAAGGTATGATTGGTTCTGAGGTTTCTGAAGAAGCAGTTGATGATTTGGCCTTGCTTTGGAGAACTTGGGCAATTATCTGGAAGTATTCTTCTTCACTTTTTGTTGATGCTAGTTTTGATTGAGCAAATGATTTTTGGGCCAAGAATTATGTAGCCTCTAAGTTGGGCCTCATCACTCCTTTTGTTTGGAGCCATGTACATACTGCTTAAGTTTTGATGCTAGGTGGGATTGAGAATGTCGTCCACCACCTAACTTTGAAATGACGAATGAGTACTAAACAATTTTGGACCCATGGAAGAAACAATTTTGAGGAAAAGAGTATCAAAGGGTGATTTTTTTGCTCTCTTTCATTGGGTTTGTAATGTGCTTTGTAAAGATGGAAGCTATCTTGAACTTCTAGTTTCAACAGTTCTGGGATGGAACCTTAAAGTTTTCACCGGTCTGCAAAACAATATGAGATTTTTGTAGGCTCCATGGTGAGATTAAAGACAAATAGCCAAATGTGGCTAAATTTTTGGTTTTGGATGAGAAAGACATTATACCACGCTTGTTGATAGTCTCACTATGCAAACGTTTTATAGTGGTTAATAGTAGTTTTGAAGTCTAGGGGAAACTGCTTTGGCATATAATCACAATCGGCAGGTGGGATGATTTTGTGTATTTTTTCCATCAAGTATTGCACAAGGCATGTTTTTTTTCATTATCATTGAAGGTAACAGATTCCGTCAATTCTGAAATTGCTCAATAATTAGGCTGCAGTTTTTATAAATCCCCAACACAGCCCCAACACAGATTCTGGCGGATTCTGTTGGGTTAATGGCCCAAATAAAGGTCCGGCCCATTCACCCCCTCATTCGGACGAACGCCCAACCCAACAAGGCAGCCCACCCCGACGAACGTCCAACGGGATAATGATGGATCAAACCCACAGGTGAACACAGTGGCGACGAACGTCGCCATCTAAAGCCACATCCACTTGATGTCAATCCAATCTAAGTGACAAATCCTCTAATGGCCAGAATACGAGCGGCCCACGATCCTTTGCAGTATCATCAGGAGCAGGCCCCCAGCTCAGCTGGACGTCCGTCCCCACTAGTTAGGCGGGAAACCCAGATTCTAGCGGGAAGCGCATTTAATGCTGAAGATTTGGTGGTTGGGACACCAGCCACACACAACCCTCCACGTCAGCGTAGCCAACTGCCCATTGGTGATATAAATAGCAGCATATATTTCATTGTAAAGGGTTGACAACTTACTATTCCTAGCACTCTAGCTTATTACCTTATTACTCGCAGCTCTTCTACTGCATGATAAGACGAACGGCCTACAGCCTTAGCAAGAGTATTGTATCGGGGCGTTATTTATCATTAATAATATCCGGTCCTTTATTGCTTCTTACTCTCTTTAATCCATCTTATTTGCCTATTGGGTCAGTTAATCACTCACACTTAAATCATCCACTCGAAATTCTTGGGCTTATGTGTTGGACCCAAGGGTTGAAGGAATAAAACTCAACACTGGCGCCGTCTGTGGGAAACTGAACTAAAAGTTTCCCAAAACTCTTCCCAAAACAGCTACTAAATCTAACCACAACAAGTACGATGGCAAGAAACAACAACAACCAACAGCGCGACCTCTCGGAGTGGCTGGAAAGCAGCCGAAGGAGCCGCGATATATAAATAACGCCGCGATATATATATATATATATATATATATATATATATATATATATATATATATATATATATATATATATATATATATATATATATATATATATATATATAAGTCACTAATTAAATAAGGTAACTCAAATATATTTTGAGAAATAGCTATTGTGAATATACAATACAATGGGGTCATTGATGATAATTGTGATGTTACATATGTATTATTTTTACAATTTAATGATTAAATTATTATCATTTAAGAGTGCTATTTTTTTCTTTCTAAAATAGAAATATAAACCTTAAGCTGGGACGGAGGGAATACTAATTTATACCCCGTACTAAAATGGTGTGGACAAATATTTGAATAGGTTTTTGCACCATTTATCATTTGTCATATATATAGTCAATAGTGTCAAATGTGAAGCAGGAGGCAAAAAGTGGCAACGGCATTGTTAAAAGCATGTGAGATGATAGCCAATCAGTGGGGCTTTGAGTATCTTGTATTGATGGCTTATGAAGAAGATTTGGGAGCTCAAACACTATACACTAATGTTGGCTACAAAGTTGTGTCAAAAGATCCTCCATGGTTGACCTCTTGGATTGGCCGAAGAAGACGGGTTCTTATGGTCAAAAGGTCCAATAAAGTGAACTCACTCTAATATAGTGTTATACTAGTGTAAAGCTCGAGGCAATGCCCTTATAACGCGTCAATTTGATATGGATTAAAATGAAAAATACTAATAGATATTGTGAATTATTTATAGGATCCAAAATTGAATATAATGCATTTTTACTATGATTTCACTTCTAGCATCATATAATAAACAAGTTGCTAGTGTTGTGTTGGATAATGCTCTGAAAAATGCTATGTATACTTCTCCTAAAATTCAAAAGGAGATCTTACACATTCTTGCTAATAAAGTGTGCCATAGGATTCGACATGATATTGGTGATTCTAAGTTTTGCATTCTTGTTGATGAGGCACGTGATGAATCTAAGAGAGAACAAATGGCTATTATTTTGAGATTTGTTGATGAAAAGGGGTTCATTAGAGAGCACTTCTTTGATGTTGTGCATGTTAGAGATACCGCATCATTGACTCTCAAAAAAGAAATTTGTGCAGTTCTTTCTAGATTTTGTCTTGATGTTCAGAACATTCGTGGTCAAGGGTACGACGGTGCTAGCAATATGCGAGGAGAATGGAATGGGTTGAAAGCATTATTTTTAAATGATTGTCCTTATGCCTATTATGTTCATTGCTTAGCACATCAGTAATTAGCATTGGTTGCTGCTTCTAGAGAGGTGAAATATGTCCATAATTTTTTCACCGATTTAGTCTTTATTATTAATGTGACTAGTTCTTCTTGCAAACGAAATGATGAATTAAAGGAAGCTCAAGCACTTGAAATTGCCAGAATGTTGGAAATTGGTGAGCTTGAAACTGGCAGAGAACTTAATCAGGTTGGTACATTACAACGAGCCGGGGATACTCGTTCGAGCTCGCATTTCAGTTCTGTTTGTAGTTTGATTAGGATGTTTGCTGCAACTTGTTCTGTTTTAGAAGATGTTGAAGAGAATGGCAATAACTTTTCTACTCGTGGAGATGCAGCTGGAGCACTAAAGAAGATTAAATCATTTGAATTTGTTTTCTTGTTGCATCTTATTAAAGAAACTAGTTTTTTATACGTGTGTTGCACGTTTGAGTAAATGCCCAATATTATATGAATGAAATTGAAACTTCATGCAAAAAGAGAAAAAGTGAAATAAAGTTTGAATGAAATGAGAAGATACAGAACAAACATTTCTCATAGTACATCCATCAATACATAATGAAGCCATATTACATGTAAAGCAAAACTTAAAACTATAGTCTAAGATTAAAAAATGGCCTCATTTTGATTTGACGGGCCTTTATCGTATTTAACCGCTTTCGGAACAAAATACTTACTTGATTCAGAACAAAAGTAAAATATTAATTAACATTTAGCAACCAGATTATAAATTAACTAAAGCGAAGTATGGAAATAGAAATGATATAAATACTATCTACTTGACATACGTGGGCCGTTGTCCAAACTCAATAGCCGTGAAACAAGGTGCCCGAGTTCATAAACTCTATCATATATGATCTTCAAAGAAAACAAATTGTGTTGGATAATAGAGCAGTATAAAACTTGTTTTGTTAGTTTTTCTTTTTAATTTTAGTAGAAAGTCATTTTCCCATTAGCTACATGTTTTTATGTGTAGAAAAAAATGACAGGATCTTATGGTCTAAATCTATCCGATGTGATCAGATCTGAAAATTTTCATCTAATCAGATCATACCTAAATATTTTTTATTTAATCTGATTATACTCCCTCAGTCCCAATTTGTAAGGTACATTTCGTATTCACTTGGTTAAAATAAATCATTTTTAATCTTTTACTTTATACATCAAAATTTTATGAAATTTGAATTATTTTTTGCAGGTTTTGTAGCGGTTTTAATGTAGTATCTAAATATGTAGATTTTATTTTTAAAAACTAATTTGAGTATTGACATGAATCAATTTGCTTTATCGTCGGTCAAACATCGTAACCAGTAAAGTATATTACAAATTTGGACGGAGAGAGTATAAAATAAGAATAAACAATAAGTAATAAGAATAAGATGAGATAACAACTCCCAACAAAGAGATGTAGCCAAATTGTTGCGACCACGAGAGTTTAATAACAAAGGGGTAGTTTCGAAGTAATCATTTTCACAATCCGTGTCCAATTTTTGCTGAACATCAGTCATTTCAATTCAAAAAGAAGATAAAAAACTATCTTATACTTCGTACTACATACATAACATATATAAAGAAAAGAAACGTAGTGAAAATAAATTAAATGCAAAAGAAACATAAAATAGAAATCAATTCTACTAACATATACTCGTACCATTTACTATGTAGTAAATGGGTTAAAATGCAAAAACAAATGAAAAACAAAATGAAAACATAAATGGAATCTTAATAGTTGGATTAACGGACCGTTGAAAAAAAGGTTGGATTAACGGAGGCAAGAGGCTTAATTATGGACAATGACTAACCGTACAATGATTAAACCAAATTGTACAAGTGCATCATGCTTAAGTGTTACACCAACATTTTTATCATTCCAAAAATGCCCTAACCATTATTGATGCTTATAAGTTTTTAGATTATGGGCATTACAGATCTTCTATGTCAGCATCTACAAAAGAAGTCCCAAGACATAGTAAATGCTATGCATTTGGTGTCAAGCACCAAAGTGTTGATACAAAAGTTAAGGGAGGATGGATGCGATAACTTCTTAGAAATTGTTAAAGAGTTTTGCAAAAAGCATGAGATTGAAGTTCCTAATATGAAGTCTCCTTATGTGATAAAACGCAAACGCAAACGCAATGATCAAGAAGGGTTTGATATTGAACGTCACTATCGGGTTGATATGTTTTATGTAGCCATAGATTCCCAATTGTTGGAGCTGAATAGCAGATTTAGTGAACAAATAATGGATCTTCTTACTCTTAGTGGTGCTTTGGATCCTAAGGACTCATATAAGTCCTTTAACATTGATGATATCTGTCATTTAGTGGATAAATATTATCCCTTTGATTTTATTGAGCAGGAGAAGGTGGGATTGAGGTTTCAATTGCAACATTATAAGCTCAATGTTCTAAACCATCCAAAGTTGGCGAATTTGTCTACAATGGCTGAACTTTGTCAAGGATTAGCGGAGACGGAGATGTCAAAAGTTTACTTTCTTATTGATAGATTGATCCGACTTTTGTTGACTCTACCGGTTTCTACAGCTACAACAGAAAGGGCTTTTTCAGCAAAGAAAATTATAAAAACAAGGCTTCACAATAAAATGGAGGATGAGTATCTTGCAGACAACCTTGTTGTTTATATCGAAAGAGAAATTGCTAAAACTTTTGATTCAAAAGTCGTGATTGAGGAATTTATCTCGTTGAAGGAGCGCCGGGCACAATTCTAAGGTACCAACTGTTTTCTTTTGTAATAATATATTTGTCTCCTTCTATTTTTGCCTATTGTGTACTATTTTAATGCTTCATTTTATTACTATAATATAAAGGTTATAATAACTTATAATAACGAGCGCCTATAATTTTTTTGTTTAAATAATGGCCCCGACAAGATGAATTTCTTGGGTCCGCCCCTGGTAAGAAGTACGCGCGGTAACAAGAGTTTTGTTAAAATGATCTTCATTCATAGCAGGGCCGGTCCCGACCATTTCTGGGCCTATGGGCGGTACACTATTCTGGGCCTATGACCGTATACTTATTTGAAATAAGAATTATAACAAAAATATCCAATGAAGTTCATAAAATAAAGTCAAAAATCACTTTATTATTATTATTATTATTATTATTATTATTATTGTTATTATTTAAGTTACATATTTGGGCAAAAATAACAACACAAGTATCGGATAAAAAGAAAAAACATCAGTAAAAACCATATCTCGTAGAACAATATGAAGCAAATAATCAATAATCGCTTCATAGGCGATCTTCTTTCTATTAATACATGACAAACAATAAAATTGCCACATATAACAACACTAAACTTTTTTTTGAAAGGAAATATAAAAAATCACTACATATTGAATTCATAAGTTGAGAATGATTTATTGACCGTTGATGAGAGTCTAAAGTTTGAAGTCTGGAAAGAATGAATGTTTTCAAAGACACAAAATGTATGGCCGCCAAGAACACTCAGATATAGTTTATTGAAATTTGGAAACAAATAAATAATTGGGATGAGCTTTGAGAGAGATGGGCTCTAAAATAATTATATAAATTTGTTATGTTATAATTAAATGAATAAAAAGCTTAAAGGCTAAAGAGATGTAAAGACTACAACAGATCCTACTTAAAATTAATGTATATATTCTTTTTTTGATGGAGCAACAATTGTATTGCTTTTAAAAACTACAACTGATCCTACTTAATAATGTATATTTTTTTTAAAACTTGGCTCTGTTTAAATTTTTTTATTTACATTTTAAATTTTCAAATTGTCAACAAAATTAAACATTAGGCCTAATTAACTGACCTTAAGAATTAAAAAAAGAAGCCTACTAACACTATATATAAAGAAAAAAATTGGGCCTATTTTTTCTTCTATTTTTCCGGGCCTAGGGCGGTCGCCCCTCTTGCCCTCTCCCAGAACCAGCCCTGATTCATAGGTAACTCAAATTGTCCTATTATGGGATGATCGCCCTTTCTAATCACAGATGTGAAATTTGTGTGAGTACTTTGAATCATTTTAAATTTGGATGGAGTTGATTCTAATATCTAAGGTTCTCACTCCATTTATTTTAAAAGACTTTTTCTCTCAATAAGAAAAAAAGTCGTTAGTTGCACTATTTCATTGACATGCAAATGATAAACAAAAATATTCGGACTATACATTAAATACACTACTTGATTGGTTTTTCTTTACCCAAAGAAGATACTCGGGTACCACTTTTTGGAAAATAAAAGAGTATTACTTGTCTCCATAATAGATTGTACTTCGCATATTCAAAGAACATGCTCATTTAATGCTTGTTCCTCTTCTTTTCCTTTTCATTTCGACCTTGTAACTTTTTAAGGAGTTAAAGATTGCATTTTCAGTACAGAGGGTTTTTAAAGGGATTTAATTAATATTAACTATAATTAATTAATTTATAAGGAATATGGTAACTTTTAAGATAAAAAATAAAAGATTAAAATAAGTAAAGCTAGTCTACAGTTTGGCATTTCATTTGTCTAAAATTTTATCTCGCCGTCATCACTCGTTCGTCAAATTAATCCTTATTTTTCATTTGGAGTACATGTAGTCTTAAAATATTTGTGAAATTGATGCTAATTGTCCATTTTGTGCATTTTAATAGCGTCTATATATTAGCTGTAG